TGGGCTCTTCACTAGGACGTGAGGGGTGACAGTAACGCCTCCTTCCTTTTGCACAACACTGCTGTCTGCAACACGTGCCCAGACAGCAGGAGTGTGGCACCTGTACGAATAAACTAACCGTGCTGCAAACACTCCTGGTGTGCTCAGGCCAAGTGGCACCATGCTAACAAACTGCCCTGGCCTCCAGAGCAGGGTGTTTGCATGCACCCTGCCTTTGGGGGATCGTTCCTGGACCATCCTAAGCACCAAAGCGACCAAGAAAGGTGCCGGGAAAGTGCTTTTTGGAAGGGCCAGACCTGTGACAGTGAATGTGCTGACAGTTTGCCAGTGCAGACAACTGTGCTCCCATGCATAGGAGCACCGTGCATTTGTTAGAATAGATACTGCCTTACACTTCAGGTCCTCATCTGACTGCAGGGAACTGAAATTCACTTCTCCTCTCTAGAGGGATGTCCTCAGTGTGAGGTTTGAAGGGGTAGCGGGAACAGGCCAGGGAACCCCTGCACCTTCCCATTGAAGCTTTGCTACCACTGGTCAGGAACGCAAGGGCAGGGCCACCAGGAGCCACCAGCTTCAGCCTCGCACTCCTGCATTACAGGTTGCACAGAGGACCAGCTTCCATGGGAGGCACAGGGAATGGGCTCCCCCACAGTAACGCATCAGTCATTGAATGAGCACAAGTTTTTGGGCTTCTCTAGGGATTCACATGGTGCTTCAGCAGCTGTCCATCTAAACCAGGGTAATCAGAGCTGCAGGCACCTGTCCTTGGAGCAGACCACTCCACAAGGCACGCAGGGTGCGGGCTTCAGCTCAGGCAACATCTCAAGCACAAGACTGCATACGGCTAAGCAGTGCAGGTTGCATCACTGCCAGGATTTCGGGCTTCTCAGTCCCAGTTAAGGCAGGATTTACGTAGACTAGAGTTTAGCAGTTTGGGGTCTGGTCTAAGCCAAAAACTGTTGTGAACAGAAAGGATGTTTCAGTAGGAGAATCCGGAGCCAGAGAGCACTCCTGTTATTAGCTCCACAGGCCACCCCACCACTCACACGGAGACAGTCATGCTCACCTTCAAGTACTGGCAGCTGCTTTCAAAGCGTAAGGACCTGGAAGTGAGAGCGCATGATCTGCAACATCAGCGCTGAGAGAATTGTCAGGAGACAGGAGACACCTGAGGGAATAGTGCCCTCCCTCTTTCACTTTTCAGCTGGACCAGTGAAATGGAGTTCAGTGAAGCATGTTATTTCTTGTAAGTCACAGTAATTCATTTCAGAAACAGCCCTAATTCCAGTAGGAGATTTATACTCACTTGGTATGCAAAAGCAAGTTTCTAGTCATAAACAGCTGTGCAGATAATACTGATAGCTTTACATGGTAAATCAAACTTTCTTCAGAACAATAGTGACTATAAAGTTGATAAGGTTGAAATGACTGATTGAGCTGTATTGCCTTTTTATAGATAAAGCAGTGGTGCTACTTTTCAAAACAGTTCCTAAGAAGTGAACTTTAGTAAGTAACAGAAAATCTTCAGTAAGGTCTTATAAAATCAATCCTTTCCACTGTTCGATGCTTCACAGTTGTATGAAATGAATATCTGAAGTCTATGGCAGCTTTATAATTAGAAAGTACTCTACACATAGACTATGAACTTTCTTTATGATGGGTATACTACTAGACAGCCCTCTTCAAGAAAACTGTGACTATAAAGTGTGAAGATAGCTTAACTTCTCATGGAAAATCCCAGAAACATGAAGCTTTTAAAAAGTGCATGTTTGCAAGATGCCTCTGGAGATGTTTTAAATATTTCTATAGCCCATGTGCAAGTGAGAGAACGTACAATAAGAATGTTGTGCCAAAGCTGTTCAGGGTAAGAATCTCCTTTCCAATGCTTCCTTTTGGGACCAGCCCAATATTGTTACACTCTCAGCCTCCCACTAGCGAATTCAAGAGCAGGAGAAGCAGCTCTGGGTTGATGCTTGGCTAGCTGGTAAAGGAAAAAAAAGCGCATAATAACTGACACAAGCAGCTCTGAGAAAAAGCTAGAATATAACAGAATGGAGACAAGTAAGGTAAATGACCTGAGCACCATTAGACCTGGTTAGAGCATGTAAGCCTTAATTAACACTTCTAAAACACTTTGATGTCCTTAGGGAGAGAGCATACTAGGTTCAAAATGACTAGTTAGTAAGTGAAATTTTCAAAAGCATTTAAATAGTGAAGGAGTTCCAGAGACCGCTAAGTCACACAGGTACTTTGAAAATTCTCCCTAAAGATAAGAAATGTATGTTTCACTATTTGTTAAAAAGTCTTTCTTCTGCAATGATGCTGCATTACTTATACCTATTTTGTAGTCATGTTTTTGTTCTCTAACTGAAAGCATAGCCTCAGTGTATCTCTGTGTATGTTGTGCAACAGCAGATTTGGAATTTGCATTTTTTTTGATTACCAGACAATAAAAAAAATAGAGATTGCACAGATATGCACCACCCTTCATTAGAGGTAGTGATATTCTCTCCCACCCAGCCCTGCCCAGCCAAGACGATATTGCACATACGCCTCCAGACAATGGGACTACCACACCTTTTGCCTCTAATTAAAATTATTAAGTCGAGAAGGAAAAAAAACGTATTTTAGTCTGTGCTTGTTAGCCAAATGTCTTGATAAAACTGAACATGTTCTGCTGCTGCCCACCATCTGCTCTTATAAGTACTTCTTAAAAACACTGAACAGGAAAATAGATTTGTCATCACTGACTATTACCATTTTATACTGGCTCTGCCCTCAGCTTTTTATTTAGGCAGACTAATAAACATCTATGGAGTAGGGTAAATTTTTCTCCCATTAAAACAACTTCATGTCTGACATAGATTTCGAGAGAACAGATTCAAACCTAATACCTGTAGAAAGCTGACAACGTAGAGCAATGAAGACATCTTTTACACAGTATTTAAATGGGGCAATCTTGTTTTTCCTCTCTCTCCCCATTCGTTACATATTCTCAGTCCTCTCCCTGTTAGACAAGTAGTCACAAAAGCACTACAACTCTGTGTCTTTGATGAAGAGGTAACTTTTCAGAGGGCATCAAAATAGCTTGCATCCTCTCAACTTCCTTTGCTGCTGGGAATTAAAACAGCACCTGCAAGAAAATATGCCTTTTCCACTACTGAGTGAAAAACACACTTAACTATAGCATCCATCCCGGCCATGACTGATACAATGAGGAAATCCCAGCTGATGCAATATAGCAGCTCAGCCGAAGGTAAATATGGGTTGACAAGGATGTTGATGCTGCTCCTCACTGGCTCCCCGTTGAATTTTGTGTCAAGTCATCAACCTAAGCCTCATGCTGAGCTACTTTAACTAATTTTCCATCTGTAGAAGCTTCACTTTAGGTACAAATTACAGTCAATGAGGTTTGTAAAACAAGGGAAAATGGAGCCTTCCTGAGGCTGGTTGCTCATCTCTGGAACCATTATTTTTCAGTGCCTGAAAAATAGCTATCTTTCCTACTACATTCAGGACAAAATGAATAAATAACTAAATACATAAATAAATAACTCTTTCCATAAATAACTAAATACAGTTCTTATTTTTCCTTACTACTCTTCTTTCTTCTCATAGACACTCCTCCCATCCAGTTCCAAATACAGAAGTAGGAATTGGTCCAGATATTTATAAAATGTGACCTCACAAGGTCACATTTTACACAAGGAGGGGGTTCAAGAAACAGTACCAGAGATCAATACCATCCTATCACAAGAAGGTCCAAAATGGATCACACAGGTACTAAATTACTTAATGGCTTGACTTCAGGCAGAACAGAAGCCACTTTTTGTTTGACAGTTTTTGGTTAGATACATGCTAAGTGCGAAGATTTCTGGAATACCAGGCCTGTTTTAAGAAAAAGCTGCTCAGCTGACTTTAAATCAATTGCAGAAATGTTGCCGTTAATCCGGTCAAAGACCCACAGCACTGCAGGTCACTTGAGGCCAGAACAGTTCACGGAGCTGCGCAGCTCTGCACAGAGTAATTGTACTCCCTCCTCGGGTCACTGCAAAGCTCTGCTTGCCACCAGGAGGGAAAAGAATAGGACTAAAAAATCTCTAATATCACCTATAAGAAGGGTGTGATTGATCTAAACTGAGAAAATACAAGTTCAAAAAGAGTAACAGCTGCATGTCTTGAAATTATAATATATATATCTAAAAGGGTTCTAGTCTAGTGCATACACAGAAAAGTGCCTTTTCCAGTCTTTTACAGATTAAACTCCACCATCTACAAATGCTCCGTAGATGTTTCTTAGGAGTAGGTTTTCCTCTGTGATTTCTGGTACCGTCCGTTTCAGGTTAGACTGGAAATATTGTGAAAGAGCCTCCTGACTTTCTCACATACAAGGTTCTTTTCTGACTCTCTTACATTTAAATCCACAAACTTCTCAGGAACTTCAGATATATATCGGACTAAGGACATTATCTTGTAAGACCAAGAACATTAGACTTGCTTCAAAAGTCAGAAAAGAAACTCTTTGCATGCTTGCCAAAGCTTCTTCTATGCCAGCCAAGGTGAGAACAAAGAGAAAAAATGAGGATGAAAATGGGCACTAGACTGTGACTGTGATTTGTTTCTGTTTTTTCGCCACACATTTGGTCAAAGGTTTGAGGCTTTTTTCTTTCCCTTCCTTGTTTTCAGTTGCAAAGCACTTACTGAGGTGAACATTTTAAGCTATCCAAAGCTTTCTGAAGACAAAGGAAGGGAATTAAACTGACTGCAAACAGGCACTGGGTCGATCCATGGGATAATATGGCCTTTTTGGAAATACAACCACATGAAGTGTTCCAAATGTTACTTCATATACTTCAGCTACCTCACACTATACCTTGTTATTGCAGCATAAGGGCATCTCAGATGTTGTTTACAGTTAACAGTTTCCCCCTTACAATCTCAATAAATGCACAGAGAACTTTGTTTCAAAATTCTGCAAAGGAAGCTCACCTTCTAAATCTCTGCAGTTCTGGAATTCTCCCATTTTTGCATCCTAGACCACAAAGCAAGAAGCTGAAAACACAGAAAGAGAGTACAGAAAACGATTGGCACTTGTTTCTCTTTACCTGTTTGAAATATGTAGTGCTTTCTGAAGTCAATTTCTAAATTAGTTAAATTAATAAAGAATGGATGAATTCAGTAATTATCACATTAAGAGATGAATTCATAATTCTTGTTACATATCTTATACATATGCATGGGCTCACACGTTACATGCATGCAGAAGTTGTTGGAGCTGGAATCAAAAAAAATATAAGCAGTACATTTTTTGCCCAATCTACTGCCCATCATTGTCAATGGTGTCTGGAAAAAAATCTGTCAGATATGCTGGTGCCTCGCAGCATAACTATATAAGCTTCTAGCACAACCGCAAAAGCTTAGACAGACACAAGCAGAACAAGAATGATCTGATCCTTGATTATTATTAAGGACCATAAGTTGTCACTTGGATTCACAGAGATTTTAATAAAAAGGTCCTTTAAAAAGAAACCACATTTTTATAAAAAAAAATCACTGTCAGGTCAGAATTTTTTAAATTTCAATTTTTCCAAATGTCATGATGCTCTTTTTTTTTTCCTCAGCCTGCATCAGACTATGGAAAACTAGCATTAAGAGTTTTCTTATTTGTTTGGATTTTTTTGCTTTTTCCCCTTTCTTTTTCTAACTTCCCACTCCGCTTTGTTACTCTGTAACTTTTCAAAACTTCTCCATCTTGGAAGCATTATTGTGGGAAAAGGAGAAGTTGGGATAATAACAGAGTAACTTTTGCTAATTTTTTTTTCTTTTTCATTGCTTAAATTTGTACAAGTCAGAGAAGGTTTAGAAAAGTTACAGCAGAGCAAAATAACAATGTGTGTATTCACATGTTGCAGGAGGGAAGAAAACGTTTAACCTGCTTGTAATTGTCTTCTTCCACCCAGTAGAAAAAAAAGGAAAATTAAAAGAAGAAAAGGAGAAAATGCAAATCTGATATTTCAAATGTGCAAAATTTTTCACGAGTTGAACAAAAAATCCAAGATAGTTTTTTCTGAATCTTACAAAACAATTTAAAAGTGCCTTTCATCCATTCCTAGTTGTAGCTTCTGTCCTATCTTTCGGGAAATCTGAATAACACATAGCAGTATTATAACTCTTTCCTCAGTTTCTGCATGGTGTTTTTAAACTTACGATCCTTACTCCCTCTGAACACCTAGTAGTTTTTTTTTAAATAAACGTCATCGGACACGTGCAACTCATTAGTGATGATGGTTTAGCTTGGGACAACTTTGGTGGTTTCCACTCCCAGCTTTCTGCCCTGGCTTTCTCTTGACAGTTCTTTCTCTTGCTCCGGGGGTAGCTCAGCAGCACATGAACCAGCTCCTTCGCCACTTGAGTATGCAGAAAACCAGGATCTATTTCAAATTCCCTTAATACACTTGCCTCTAATTTATGGCAGCTCAGCAACTTCTCCTGAGTAACCATGGTACCTTTGCAGCAGGGTGAGAACCTCTGAGAGAAGAGCAGGGCAAATTTCCTGGCTGAAATCAGGGGAACAAACTAACAACATTAGCACAATGGCATATGTGGCATTAAGGACATTTGAGGAGTCAGGCACTCAGTGAAAAAATAAACTAGAGCAAAATAGAGCTTGATAACGAATTAGGAAAGGCACAGTTTTTAATAAAAGTCCAGGTGGAAGCATGTACCTCATTGCCTTCACTGGTATTCCAAGCCCTTTGGCTCAAGGTATAGCATTTTTTTGGAAAGGCTGGGGTGAGTATACAGAGAAAACATTAGGGCATGTTTTACCAGGAATTCAGACTCTTTCAGCACAACTGACTTAAAATTGATCATCTGTCATAAAGATCATGCTACAGAAGTCTGCCTTGTTGCATGTATGTACGTATGTATGAACGCAGCAAATTATAAAACAAAGCCGTAGTCTTCTTACTTTGTGACTTAGATTAGCAGGAGTGAAAGAAGTGAGGATGCTCAGCAGGTCTTCTAGAGTTGAATGTCTAGCATCTACAATGAAATCCTTTATTTACATGTAGGCCCAAAAGAATTAAACAAATGCATAAGAAGAGAACGTTTTTTGGAGATGTGACTGATTATTTTTCCAGCCTGACTGTGTCACCAGCAGTCTAGATGTGACCCTTAGAATGAAAGAACGTGGCCTTACAGTATACATTTTTGTACATCCAGGTCCTTTTTTAACAGTCTTTGTTTTCTCACACTGATATTTGAATTGTATTTCACCCAATAAGTTTCACGGCAAAACAATAAATGTGTGTTGGTACAGACAGCTACGCAGGTGACATTTTGATTTAATAAAGAATAGTAGAAGAAACTGTGAAAACATCACATTAAAAAGTGATTCTCTGAAACAAAGCAGGCTGAGCTTTGTTTGTATTGCCAAGAAGTTATTTGCCTATCCTACATTTTATTTCCATTTTTCTGCAACAGTCTTGCTAGGAGGTTCCCCAGGTAAGCAAGTGAGTTGTGTTTAGCAAGTCTGTTTGGGCTCCTAAGGATGTTTGCCAATAGGTTTCTGTTTAATCAGCACGAGCTTAAGCAGTCTGCAGGGAGGAGAGGGATAAGAATAAAACAGGAAATTACTTTCTGCTGTCAAGATAGTAAAATCCATCTCAAAACTCAACTTAATAAACTTCTTGTTACAAGCTATTTATAGTCAGACTCTCATCTATGCCTAACACTGATAAATTACTGAGTATTACCAAGAACAGAAAACCTACAGCATTGGTGATGCTGGAGACTCTGAAGGTCTGTAGCTCTCTAAAACGATCAATAGACAAAGTAAAACCCTTGTAATGAGTTCTGCCCAGGCTGTTTCTGTCTCTCTAAGGAAAAAATGCTTTCCACGTTGAGATGGGAAACAATGGCCCTAGCGAGTGCAATTTCACAAGAGACTCCCTCCTCCTCTTCCCCCAGGCATTGGGCAAGGCCAAGCACGGCAAACTGAATGGATCGATCCATCCACTAGATCTTGCTCAGTTAGCACCAGGCATTGCCATTCCCTAGCAGCAGGGCTAGTATTTCGAGGGAATTGCACAGGTCAATGCAACAATGCAAAGCACCGCAAAGGCTAATTTAACATTATGAATGTATTCAGCATAGTAAGTCAGGTAAGAGCATTTGTAATTGTGTGTTCTATTAATACTGGGCTGGGTTTCTTGGAGGAGCTATTAAGATTTGGCTCAAGAAGAAAAATGCAGTTCTAGAGACTGCATCTTTAAGTGCTGAATCACCTCAGACAGAGAGTCTGAAGAAAAGATTGCTGTGAAGTGCTTGTAGGTATTGTTAGTTGGGCCTAGTCTTGCTAACACCTTAAGTACAGAGCAGCCACTGGATACCGCAAGAAGCAAAACAAAGCTGCATGCCCTATAATCCTGTCTTTAATCCACAGCTGATAAATCTTGCAGAGAATTATTAAAGCGAACATTAGCAAGTTAATCCATGAAAGAGAGAGGCAGAAACAAACAGATAGAGGCACCTTAAGTTACAGACGGATTTGCACTCTCGAAGGCTGTATTATCTTGTTTTCTTCTCCAGTCTGTAACTAGGTCTCAGCCATACTTATGTAAGAGTTTTTGCCTCGTCATCTTTACATTCCACGCAATCTGGTCCTTTGTGATTTTCACTTTGTTTTCTGTATCATATCTAAGAAATCTTGGTCTTTTAAAGTATCAGAAACTGGTGATAAAGATCATTTGGAGGTGAGCGTTTTCAGATACATGGTAGAGAACTTGGCTTTTTACCTCCCAGTAAGGCTGAGGAGAGGAACTGCATGAACACTGTGTAGTACGCAAGGTGCTGCCAAGACATGGAGCAGCTGGAAAACTCTAAAACAGCAGGGAGATTTGAGATAAATCAGTTTTCTCTTTGGGGGTCCACAGAGCGTATTTGGTAGAAGTGATGAAGTCCACTGTCTTGCTAGACCGTCCACTCAGAAATTCTTCCCCTCAAGGGGAGCGCCACTGTCTTTAAGGGAAAATTTTGCTTGAGGCTGCTGCTACTTCCACCAAGCCCCAGTCCCCCATTTAATGGCGGCACATTCCCAGGTATTTTCCTCTGGCTTCCAGAGTCTTTTAAGGAATAAAGTTTAAGAGACAACAAGGAAAAGCCCATGCAGTCAACTTTCCATTATCCTGGTCAAAGGGATGGAGGGAGAACACTCTGGATGATTTACTTTAAATGGGAAGCTGAATGGAACAGGATTAGACTAATTTAACAGAAAGGGATTTTTAGCTCAAACAAAGCACCACAGGAATGCATGAGCTGACAAGTTCAGTAGGAGCTGAACTGCTGCAGCCCTCCCCAGACGAGGAGCATGGTGCTGAGAAACCCTAACACGGCTGGTTCTGAGTGGTACAGATGACCCTCTGCAGACCTAAGCTGCCTTTGTGCAGAAGCGCTTTCATGTCTGTGAAGAGCCAGAATGGCTTTACTGGGGATCATTCACTCAGCTTCAGGAAAGACCTTTCTGGACCTCATCCAGCCCTACATGGTGCCAGCCCAGGCACTCCCAAAACCATGGTGCATTTACCCACAAACCACATAACCCATTCAGAGGTAATGGAGCTGACTGGTCCTTTTCACACCACATTGGATGGGGAATCTCTGCATGGATCATAAGGGACAACGTACATCTCATCTCCGTTGTACTTTCACTCACAGGAGAAACTCCTTTTTCACTTTACTGCCCATGTGTTCCCTCTTTATAGATGTGCATAGAAGAAACCAGGCAGACAGCTGGTGTACAGCTGCTACCTGCAAAGGACCACATCTCAGTGCAACAAAACTATGAATAAAGGGCTTAGGCTGTATGAAGCGACAACCTAATAAGCAGATTCTCTTTCCTATACATTCATTCCTGAGGATCTGACTATATTTGGAAATAGTTATGGTGTTCAAGATGTTTTGCACCAAGAAATAAGGTTTCTTAAAAAAGGTGGGGGAACACAAAGGAGCCTAACTGTGGCTGAAGGGTATGGTATTCTAAGAATGCACATCTTTACATCTGGTGCCGAACTATATTTTACACAGATGCAGATGCAGAAATGTCTGTGGAGCAGGGACTACTCCAAGCCTTACTCCCCTTCCAGCTCTGCTCTAGCCACTGCACTCCAGTCTTGCTGCCTCTGGTTGTTCTCTCTCTGGCCCTCTGAGTAATGGATAATTTATTCTGTCCAGACTGTTTCAACAACAAGCTCTGAGGTACCTCCTCTCCCACCCCTGGCCTGCTTGTCAGGCTGTTCTCTTGGGAAACATAAGGTTGAGCTTCTCCAGGCTGAGGAAGACCTAATATTGAGGTTTCCTGGGCAGGTACCACAACCATTAACTAAAAAAAATCATGGTAGTACCATCACTATTACCTCCTCCATCATAATCAAGGCGTGATTTCAAACAGCTTGGTCACTCCTGAACTGTGCAGGGAGCCTGATGCCACCCGTGGGTGTTAGGTGTGCTCTGAGAACACCCAGTGGGTCAGGCCCTGGGGGAGCGGGGCCAAGCACTGCCGGCATCCCAGATCCAGGCGTTGCTCTCTGGCATCCCGGCAAGGAGCCATGCAGACTGAGGCTCTTCTGCCTGAGCACTGAAGCAGAGTGGAAGGTGCCCAGGAAACCTAAGGACCTCCCTTGTGAGCACAGACACTGCCAAGCTTGGGGAGTGGCTGAGCAGAGGTTTTCTGGATTGCTGTTTTGAGCACAGGTAGCCTGCTTGATGTGCCCTTTTGAATCTCAGGCCCTGTGACGTAACTAATTTACACATTTACAGCTTCTTTACACTTTATGCTCACATCCAGCCCTCTGCTTTAAACAAGTTTTGGACAGTGTGCTGCCATCTCTCTATAACCAGCTTCTCACCTCTCCTACTAACCCTCCTTCCTACTGTCCTTTCTATACTGCAGTGGTGCCCTTCTGGCCAGGCCACCCACAGACCTTCTTCAGTGGCCATTTTCGCTGAGTCTGTGCCCCCAGCAGAGCCAATCTGCACATGCGCAGCAGGGCAGATGCTTCCCAGACATGCTCTTGTCATGTAACTGGGCCTTCTGGAAAGAGTCCGGTCCCCACAATTGCTAGAGCAGCCCATACAGGCTGCAGCCTGCTACAGAGGGAGTCCCGAGCAAGGGACGAATCCCTGAAACAGATAGAAATAGCCTCGGGTCTAGACTGAACAATAACCCAACATCCTGTAACTCCTCCAGCCTCTGATCCCCAGACACTCTGTGAGCTTTGCCTTTGCCTTACGCATTACATGTTATGACTTTTTTTTACTGTCCCCAGACTTGCTTTGATTTGGCACCACTGCAATTCAACAAGTCTAGCACGGACCAAAAGTGCCATTTAAGTTTTTTGTGGCCATGCTCAAGTATTGAAATTTGATTTTTGCTTTTGTTTTTCAGAGATGAAGATAATGTCTTTCAAACAATTCTTCTGTCAAATGTGTATTAAGGCATCTATTCATGAACTAAACCTCTTGCTTTCCCTCTTTGGAAGGCTTATATAGTTTGGGAGCAGAGCACTGGTCTTTCAGTATCCCCTGTCCAAGTTTCTTTTGCACTGCCCACTTCCAAATGAGGTTTCCATCCTTGAACACTGGGATTCCAGCACAGCAGAAAGTGAGTCAGTATCTTTGTCTAGGAAATTACCTAATCACCAAGCCACAGAGTGTGAAACATGCCGACTTCTTTAATTACTTTGTCTGCCACTCTTCTTGACAAAATTGATATATCTTCTGGAAATATTTTGACTTTAAAAAATCAGATTTCAGAGAAATTTCATTTAAATGGAAATCAATTGTAGTCTTTTCTTGTCTCCTGGGTATTCCAGTCTCCTATTATACCGCTTTTCTCTTTCGTTTTTCCCTTTTTAAAATATCCTGAATTTTCCTGTGCTGGCCCTGTTCCTGCTCAATAATAAACTTTTCACGGTACAAAAAGTACTTCTTTTTACATCTTAGTTGGTATAAGATGTAATAAACTCCCTCATGGTGGTTTAAAGTGGTTATTATGGCCCTTATTAGCATAATCTTACGGTAATGTGTTAATATTTTACATGAATAGTCCTCACTCACCATTGAAGGCCAGGAGATCGCAATCCACTGTAATCTACTTCACTCAGTGAGACATCAACTACAATTTACAAGAATGGAATAAAAACTAACTTTTCCTTCTTTGAAATGGCATAGTTAACATTAAGGTGAAGTACACAGTTCAAGGAAATTGCGGGATGAAACTGAAGGGCTGAAATACCCCAGACAATGGAAAAAGCATACAATACAGATATTGGACAGGGTGACGTAGAGACTTACAGACAGTGTTGTCCAGAGAGAACACTGTATTAACAACGCTGGCACGAGGCCAGAGGTAATAAGCCTACTTATCCCACCATGACTTCTTCTGAGCAACTCAAGCTTTTCTGAACCACACTTTTTTCTTCAGTACTCAGCAATCTGGCTGGATTTACCGTCTTGGACTTAATGCCAGTGACGCCAGACTCAAGTGTGCCTGCTCCGCAGCCCTTGTAGTGGGAATGCAATAGAGGGAAGCTGAAGTGGCTCTGCACAGAGTCAGCTTGAGCCTAGGGTGAAAATGACAGGGGGAAACTGGGGGAATGAGGTGAAAGGAAAGAGGGAGGAGTGGGACCAACCCACTTAAAGGCAGGGAGCTCAGTTTGGCTTTGCTGAGTAATTTCATTTTCAGGCTGTGCCACAGAAATACAGTAAAACTGCTCCCAGACCTGAGCTGTCTCTGGAAGCAGTGGAGCAGCATCTGGATGATGCCATTCCTAAAGTAGCAAGTGCAGTTGATCCCAAGTTAGCTCTGCCAGCTATTTGCATCCAGTAAGATAGTTAATTCACAGCCCCCAAAGCACTAACAGATAATAGGAAGTTAACTAGCTTGGTAATTTATGTTGCACAGTTGGTGTTACAAATATCTGGCAGAAGAATGTCAGGACCAATTATCTGTGGACTCTGTCTAAAAACTCAAAAACCACAAGCTCAAGTTTCTTCCTAGAAACCCAGGGATCGAAGTTATGCTTTCTGGGTGCTTATGATGGGCACTGTTTCTCCACTCAGGTGACTTCATCTGGGTATCACACAGCCCTCACATACATGTTGGTATAGATGTGTACTTTGGTGCTCATCATTAGCAGATTAGCAGGGGGTTTCCCTCTTGGCTTCACAAGGAGTCCAGCCACCTCTTTTCCATATCTACAAACAGGTACGAACAGTGAACTCTCCCTGCTCCTTCAGCGACAGGCCACAGGGCTTGCTCTGTGCTCTCAAAGTGACTCTGACAAGGTAGTTGCTCACAAGCCTTCCTCTAACACAATTCATCCCACAGTCATTACTTCTAGAAACATCTGTGCATAAATGTGGGCTCAGTCTCAATTGTGCTCAATGATAAAGCATCCTCCTGCCTCAAAACAATTCCGTGCAAGTGGCCTGAACAACGTAAAAATTTGAAGGAACTATAACATTCTTCTGAAAATACCAGTCTATCCCTTTCCTAATAGAGCCATAACCTTCTCATGTTCATTACACTGTGCACAAAGCAGGAGACTGGGCAAGCCGATGCCGAGGATCCTGCAGTAGATGGGCTACCTGAAAACAGAGCCACTCAAGTTTGCCTGAATCACTATGAAAATATTTGTAACTTCTTAGAACAGATATAGAAGGACAGAATAAGATGAAAGAATATCTTTTGCTCTGTAATATGCTTAGAAAAATCCTGACCATTGGAATTATGTACATTCATAGTGTGAATTCCATTCAGAGACACCATGAAGTCTCTTCTGTGTCTACAACTTAAACTCAAAATTAGTTTTGTATCAAAATACACTAATATTCTCCCTTTAATCCTGATACATTTTCCATTAAAGTCACTGGAAGCTTTTCCACTGGCTTGACTCTATAAAATGTCTTTTGAAAAAATCCACACATAGTTATTACAGCTCCTTTATAGTTAAATATAGTATATGGTTATACATATATTCTATATAGCTAAACAGTAATAACTGTATAGTTATATAGTATAGTTAACTATACTATAGTTAAATAGCTATTATAGCTAATTTTACTAGGTCAAGGAATATTAAATTTTCACTGGAACAATTTAACATTTGCTAGTGAAAAACTATTTAAGAGCGCTATGTTTCTCCTCTGTCCTAGTTATGCTCAGAAACTAAGTGCAGGATGAGCACCTGGCTAAATAACAATGAGGCTGATACATGGGACTGAACCGTTTTTGCAGATCTTGTGGTCTGCCTTGAAGAGGAAGCAAGGAGTCAAGGGTGTCTTGCTACTTCCATAATTACGTCAGTGTTGAGGTCCATTTCTCCTTGCTATAACAGCACAGAAGAGATCTCCAGAGCGCAGCCAGTTCAGCCCCTGCACCAGAGCAGAATCCATCCATGTGCGACAGATGTTGGTCTAATCTGTTCTTACAAACCTCTAGTGAAGGCGATGTGCAACATAGCCTGCCTAGTGCTTATCCCCTAGTTTTTATATATATATATATGTGTGTGTGTGTGTGTATATAATATATATAATATTATATATTATATATAATTATAATTATATATATTATATATGTATAGTTTGAATCTTCTTTTCTGCAGATTTGACTCTTGTTTTATATCCTTCCCAGTGGGCATGTTAAACATTTAATCACTCACTGTACTCTTTAAAAAAACATTTAAGGAGTATCAGTGTTTTTCTGCTTCACAACATACTATGCATTTTCACACTAGCTGAGCAGCTGGACTGTGATTTTAAAGGGGCAGTTCTACAAGCTACAGTCCTTCTGACACAGGACTGGTGATGGGAAATGAAGATCTATGCTTTTATGTTTGAGTGTTTCATGATCCTAATGCACTCACCTTTGATAGTGACAATAAGTCACTGCGAGTTTATAGCTCTGATGGTGACCTGTAGGAACCAGCTGTTTGAGGATGGACTGCACCAGCTAATGACAAATAGCAAGGTGGGTACTGCATCCTCAGAAAACACCATGGATCATCCTGTCATTATGTTCTCAGCGTTGCTCCCACTGCCACTGTTAAATTCAGTTTAAAACGAAGAAGAGAGAAAGAGAATTAGTACTTTGTTTCCTCTTACATTTGCTTTCAGCGGCTGGTTGTTGAAATGTTTCAGCATCACGCATCAGGATTTTTATTTCCAAGTAAGATGTTAACTGACAATTTCTGCTTTCAGGAATGGTCTTGTTTGTTTCTTATGGATGCCTGATGCATTACTTTCCTGTGAATGGACCTTTGCAGGAAATTCTTGTAACTGTTCCTGGTTTGGCATGGAAAGTGACTGCTCTAGAAAATAAGACAATGAAGAAAATATTCCCACTCAGTATCAGCTTGGAAATCAATACTCCTGGGAATTCTGTTCACAGAGAAAACAGCTCAGCAGCAACTGTTATCTTCTTCTTAATGGCTTGGAGATTTGTCTTGAACTCATTACCTGAAATAACTCAGGACTGGATGACCTAGATACAGGACTGAAAGTTGTGTGACCCACTTTACAATCCATCACACTTCATTGTTATTGGCATTCTTTGGTATGTATGGGATGTAATGGTAATGTCTCAGGACCACATGCGGAAGGGAAAGACAGGAAAAACTAGGGGAAGAGCAGAAATAAAAATAAACACAAAATAGCAGCAATGTAAGTTCCTTTTGATATACTGAGAATTTCAGAGGAAGAAACAAACTGTGCTGCTCTCTTCTGTTCTGGCACAGCTCGTCCTGAAGGCCAGTGAATATACAAGGCATAAAAACTGAATGAAAGAGTAAAGGAAAAGGAAAGATAAAGCAGAGTGTGTCTGAGGCATTGGACCATACGAAGAAGGGAACGGAACCCAAACTGGAATAACCTGAAACCTTGGAGAAGCAGAGAAGTGAGCTTAACATTGAGCGTTATCAGAGGTATCACCTTATTAGCAGCGCTGAGCCATTGGTGCTTATCCCACACTAAGCTTTCAAGGTTCACAAACAAAGCCTCTCTCTAACTAGGTCCCTGCAGAGGTGTGATCCATTAGACCAGCTGTGTCCTGGCTCAGCACGACCCATCAATGCTGAGCTCAGTACATGGCACACCAGAGGAGCAGTGTTTTTCAAGGATGTGCCTAAGGGACAAAGAAGTGGTGCCCCCCTTTTGCATGCTGTCCCAGGACAGGAGCGCCCTGCCAGGAAACAGGAGAACGGCTTACCCGGGAGCGCGCATGGAGGCGCACAGCTCCCCATCCCTGGGGCACGTGTTACCCGTGGGGCTAGTGGCAGGGCTAGGTGGGGGCGCAGCACCTTGGTCGGCAAGGGCAAGAGAGACTTGATCTTTTATGAACTTTAACAGGGAGCTTGTGGTTGGCTGCAGCATGGGAGAGGGCATGAAGCTGTCTGACAAGGAGGCTGCCTGGGGAAACGTGCCAGGGACGGTCTGTCCAAGGAGCTGGTCCCTGGGCTGTGCTCAGCCGCCAGCCAGTGCTAACCTCAAGAGGGTTAAAAAGGAGGGGGATTTCTGTCCAAATGTCTGGGGACCCCAGCAGATTATCTGCTCCAGGGATCAAAGATTGAGCAGAAAAATCAATACTGTAGGTGTATTTGCTGAGTACTGTAGGAAAAAAGAAATGAATGTTTTGCTTAGGTATAAACCTGAAATAACTGAACATATAGAAAATTAAACATTTGAAAGGAGACACCTGGTACTAGCTTTCTCTCTGAGCCAGATGTGTCAGTAGGGGACTGGAAATTGCCCCTAAAATCAGGGTGCACCTTTATGAACATTCAATGCCTTTTCATGTGGTAACATTGTTCCTCCGACCACAGTCAGGTTTATACTGAGTATTCAGGGTGTTAGTACAACAAAGCTCAAAGACAAGCACTGAAGAAGTAAATTAGGAGCAAAAAAGGATTTGAGGCAGTTCATGGCCTGGAAGAAAGTTCATGGCAAGAAGCAAATAATAAAGCAAGGGAAAAGGCAGTGCTGAAGAATATCTAAACAACAGGAAGGGAATTGTGCTTGAAGAAAATCAGGTTGAAAGACCAGGCATTTTGTTAAATGAGTTGATACAGAGCTGAAGGTCACATCAGGAAGGAGGAGAAGCAGAGGGAAGGCTAATTAATGAGATAGGCTCTCAGGATGAAAATACAAGTCACTGAGCATGAGAGCGATGGAAGAAGAGAACCAGAAAGCAAGGCAGTGAGGTGCAAAAGCTGGATGTGATCAGGCATGGTGAACATCACAGGAGCGCACACTAGGACAAAGAGTCAAAGGGAGGATCAGAAATAAACTGATAAAAAGTGGAGAGAAGAGAGTGGCTAGAGGGAGAGGAAACGTTAGTTTTCGGTGATGCTACTCATCATTCAGCTTCTCTCCTGTGTATGAACCTGTCACAGGAGGCTCTCACAGGAGATTACCCTCTGCGCTTTATGCACTTGTTGCTCAATTTGAGATATTTCTTCACAAGCAACAACTCTGGTAAGTGTTCCCTGCCATTAATCTCTGTGTGGTTGTGGGCGCACAACCTTCTTCACAACATGAAATGGAGTGGTAAGAACCATATAGTTTCCATGCAGGCAAGGTGAAGTCACCAAATGGTGTTGTTTTGAGTGGAGAAAGTGCAGTCAATGTGGGAGCTGCTGAAAATTATTCATGTTTTAGTGGTGTAACTATGCCACTTTCCCTGGTAGTAAATACTCTCTGATATGTCAACTTTACAGGGGACTATGAATAGGTTGTAGCTGATTCCTGAACTGAAACCCCCAAAAAAGTGAAGTACATAACTTTTGTCATTTTAACTGTGTTAATTGCATTCCTGATCTCATCAAATGGACCCTTTTCTCCTCTCAGTCCTCTGACTTCCACACGTCTGCTGCAGTAGAGCCCCATGACTCTCCCAGGCTCAGGTTTCCTGTGGGCAGCTAGGATTACCTCATGGCCCTGACTCATCTTCACTTCTTCAGGCCTCCAGGAACAGAGAGAGTGGTTTCCATTTATGAACAGCTTTTCTAAAGCAAAGTCTAATTTATTTAGAACAAGGGCAAGGCAGAGAAAATGGACCTAAAACAGAAAAGCTATCTACATGAACGTCTGCCTGCCTCCCACTAAGAGTTACTGTGGTGGCTGCTTCTCCCTACCTCATCAGAGTATCTCCTAGTGTCACCCTGGGCCTAGTGGCAGCTTCTGATAACTGACTGCTCTCTCTTGAGAACAACTTCTTAACCGTTTGCTGGTGTTTGGATTTTCAAGCATATAAAATAGCAAAATAGAGCCTGAAGCTTTTCACTTAACAGAATATAGGATGCTCAGAAGGTCCAGCTTTTCAGTGCTTTCTGGGATATTCTTGTCTGGAAAGTCACTGTACAGCCTGGCATTTTTCTTTTTCCCACAGCCCTGCTTAATTAGAGCAATGCCAGCTAGCCAGCAAGCATTGTCCTACCCTTCTATAAGTCAAACAGATTAGCTTCATTTCCAAGGGTACATTTTCATTGCAGAGACCATGGTGCAGAGATCCCCAAGCTAGCATTGAGCTCGTCCGGCAAGTCCACACAGCACAGTAAAGTATCATGCAGATATGCCAAGTGGGACTGAGAGGCAGAATAATCATGTTCAGCTGGCAGAGCATGCAGGGCTATATTGCTTCTGTTTCAGTGCTGGCCTGCATGGAGTCGCTGCGCTGTTTCCCAGCTCTTCCAGCTGTGGGAGTAAATTGTGCAGCACTGGCTTAGATATCTTTGTGCACACCCTAAATTGCTGACCGTATTCTTAGATTATTACATTGCAGCTCCGCTCCATCACAACCTCTATCTTTCAATCAGTGAGAAAAATGTCCTTTGGTATGATCCATTTTATCTTCGCTTCATCCTGATACACTTTTGACAGTGATTTTTAAACCTATCCTTGATAAAGTCATATTGCATAAACCCTCAGCTGTTTGTACTCATTCTGACCCCTTCCTTACATAGAAACTCTTCTGTTTCATTATACTTAACTGGATGGGGAATGAAGAAAACTCTTTCCTTCTCTTCAGCATATCCCAAAGCCTTTGTGAGAAACAGTTATGAAAAAGAAAATTTATTAATATAGAATCATGACTTGGTATTAGATATGGTATGAGTAACAATTTTGGAATCATCCTATATTAGTTACCTTAAATTCAAGAAACCATTCTTTCTTTCAGGCCCAGAGTAAGGAACAGCCAGCACAAGAAAAATTACCATCTTGCAAAGTTTTTGTAGCACTGACTCTGTGTTCTTGAAAAGCAGCCAGGACTCCATCCCATCCACTTGTAAATGCTCTGCAGTTATTCTCTTAATAATTCAAGGTTGATGGATGAGTGTAAGGTTAGGCAGCTTTGTTTAATAGCCTAGGGGAGAGAGAGAGGGAGGGAAAGAAACAAGTATCAGCAAATATATTGTGCAAAAGACAAATAAAAAGAATTACACAATACACTCTATTTTTTAAATAAGCCTTCTGAAATGTTGTCATTGCCACCAACTGATGTTGCTTAGAAAAATTCACCAGCTGACACTGTCACAATCCCACTAATAATTTAGACAAATGAGTCCAAAACATTGTACCCTGCTAGTGCTTAAAGGAGTGTCAATAATACAGAACAATATTTTCAGCAAGTTGCATTTCCTAAAGAGATTCTCTTCCTCTATGTCTCTTCTGAGCTTGAGGAGCATTTCAGGAGAATGGGAGAAACGCCTCATTTCAAGTCATGAGGTGGAGGGGAGGCTTGAGATTTTCCACTCTTCAAAGTCACTTTGCTAGTGCTTAATACAAAGCTTCTGTTAGTTTTTTAATTCAGCAGTTTTCAAACTCCTGGGAGAGATAGAGCAAATCCTCTTAAAGATTTCACAGTAGGTAAGTGAGAAACACAGTCACTATTATCAATGCACTTAAGTTTGGTAGAAATGGGGACTGCCTCTCCACTTCTTGCCATTGTCAAGATCATGAAAGTTCATTTTAAGTCTGTTATGAATTTTTGTAGTAATTATCACTGGACTACCTTCTACTTGAGGAAAGAAAAATATAAAAGTCCTTTCTTTTCCTTCGCTTCTTGTCACCCTTAATCCATTCTTCCTTCCATTCTCTCTCCTTACAGTTTAAACGACTGCCTCATCCCATGATCACCAGAACAAAACAAATAATGAGACCATCTTTAGCATGAATTTACTTTTTTTAACTGAGGCAAGAATTTTGTGATTGGGAATGTATGGAAGGATTATGAGAATCATAATGATTTTAGATCATGTATATGCAAAAGAGCGGAAGTTAAGGGCAAAGTATATGGTCATGCATTGGATAGCTCATGGATCTCTGGGTTCATCAAGCAAACCTCCAGTGAGAAGGTGAGCACCTACCTCTCCTTTTGATGTTTGGGCTGGGCTCAATGTTTCACATAATTAATACACATTTTTCAAAACCATCAAGCATAGTATTCATGCCTTGATGAAGGAAAGGCACATAGCATATGCAATGGGAACTCAAGTGTATACTTATTAAAATAAACATCAAAATGCCTATTGACCTCAGTTGTGATCAGCAGGCTCTGGTCCTGTACGAGAACAGCTGTCTGGAGCTGACTCGTAGCAAAAATCAGCAAAAAGTTGCTGATAACTGTAGGAAAACAGTTTTTGACGTTTTTGTAGCCCCTACGTAGCACAAGCTCACTATTGGCTAAGTCAGTCTGTAATTTAGTAGTAGCTTTGAATTCCTGGCTGACAATAACTGCCTGAAGTAGCTTCTGCAAGTAGTGCTTGCCAGACTCTCTCCCTGGTGTAAAGACTCCACCTGATGTGCTTTGTGGTGGGGCCTAGGGAGGTAATCTTCCTGATCCTGAATTTCATGGTACCAAATCCCAAATATTGCCAAACATGTTGACAGAACATAGGCTGCTATGAACGAATTTGACCTGTCCCGTTTGCTACCCTGGCTGTCCATGGCACTTCAAGTCTAGTTCAGTCTCTTCATCCTTGAGATTCTTCATGGTCACTACAAAAGGCCACAGAGAGTGACAACTATGATTAGCCTCGTGCTCTCAGCCACAGTCCTCTGAGATACAGAAACCTGAAGGCTGTCACAAGCCGGAGAACTTTCTGCTCCAATTGTATTTGACCTTGTCTTTCTAACAATAGTATTCAAAACCATGCTGACTGATACCCCACTGAAACAGACTGCTGCAGAAGATCCATCCCTGAGGAATGGCTGACAGGGCCCATCATGACAAGCACACTCATCACAGCCAGAAAGCATGGTTATCATAACAAAGACTGAAGAACTATATCAAACAGAATACAATGCCCATCCAAACAGCAGGAAGATCAGGATGCATGGCAAATAGCAAACAGTCAGAATGGACCAATGAATAGGCAAATATCCTTTAAATCAATAAAGCTCTTAAAGACAGAAGTGCTTTGCTGCTCTTGCTAGTGGCTTCCAGATAGCATGCTATTGCTGCTGTTCACCATGTTCAGCGAACCACCACAGAAATTGATTTCGTCTGAGGAAGCACTGTAAAATGTAGTCCCACATTCCTTCTGCTGAAGCACAATTTTAAGCTATAACATTGACCGACCAGAACAATTTATGCTGTAGTGTATCATCAGTTACACCAAAATGAGCACGGTTTTTAATTTTACTTTTTTCCATATATGCAGTTAGGAAGTAGAGGACAAGGGTTGTTACTCGCATCTACTTATTGGGGCATGGAAATAGAAAGGATTAGGCCAAATGTTGTGAGGGTACTTGTGTAAGTGCCCTAACATGTATACCAGTGCTCTCTGCTATGCAGCCAATTAAATCCTCCATGAAATTGAGTCTAGAAGGCAGGGGTTCCTGAATCCAATACCATACTTAATTCATCCCTCATTACCATAATACTGAATATTATAGCACCAAGTAATCCAGTAATTACAGTTTTCCTTTTCAGATCTACTGGAGTTCATTGAAGTAGTTGACATTAAAACACTCCTGAGGTGTTTTCAACAGAACACCAACTCCAATATGTCTTTATTTGCAAATGCATTTATTCATATAAACAGATTAAAGCTAATTTCAGAAAAACATCATGTGAATTGAATTTCCTATGATCCTGAAAGAGGTTTGACTGCATTGGTGATAAACATACACAGTCCTACTTGGGCAATAATAATACCATCTTTTTCTTTCTAAGGAAGTCTGTCTGACTTGCTAAAACATATATTGTCAAACGTATCACAAGCACAGGTGATTCAAGAGAGATGACAGTACTAGCAGTCATAAAGTCTGCAATTCAGGTAACTGCCATAAATAGCCATGAACATTTAATTTCTATGCTATAGTTGCTGGGAAGTTGTTCTTTCAATAAATTAGTCGTTATAAAGATAGGTTATCAGTTTTTAAAATGCCAAGTTAAGAACACAGAAAGGAATGGAGGGGCTAGGAACTGTCCTGACATTTGTAGACCAGACTGTAGGCCTGATGCAGATCAAGTTTTCTTTTGGACATAGGAAGCTTGTATTTGCAGGTTTCTCCTGCAGCCAGATTAGGCATATTAAAAATAAAAATTTTGGAGCAGAGTTATTTCATAGAAATCAAGCAATCATCAGACTATAAGAAAATCAGCAAGCTGGAAAAGCCAACAAAAGTGTAAGCATTTCTGAGAGCAAATCTGCAGCCTTTCACTTGGGCCAAAAAGCCAGGTTGGGCACAGGTAAGGTGCTTGACCTACCAATATCTTTACCGGCTGTAAAGATATGTCCGGCCTGTCAGTAGCCGCATTGCTGAGCCTTTCTTTACAACTGCGCCTTTGTCTTTATGTGAATGCTCACCTATGAGCCTATACATATGCATGTACCTGAACAAAATCCAACCGATCAACTTGTGCCATATATGTTCCTGCACTTCTCTATACATGTATGTATATGTGCACGTGCGTGTGTCTTCTTTCATTCTCTTCTGTTCTCCTTACTTTCTTCCATCCTGTTTCATTTATATGCCACTTAATAAATCTCCAAGACTTTCGACGGACATAAAACAAAATGACAAAATCATGAGAATAACTTGACAGTTATCAACTCCCAGTACTTTCTCTGCCTGTACACCATATCCTTCCACCCAGATTTCTTTGACAGTCATAGCTAGTCTGGGACAAATATGATTGTACACTGTATGAGTATATAATGACTCTTGCTGATCTTGATAGAGACCTTTAAGATTATTGAAATATAAGTAATAATAATATCTACATGCCAGATATGGCCTCTTCAGCAAAGGTTTAAAATCAAAATTATAACTCCTGTGGGAGTTTACCAAAACTGAAGAAAAAGCTAGAAATACACTAGTCTGTATTCAGGTCAGCTTACCTCATAGCGCTTGCTGTAGTAGTATGAATCACATTATGCTCCCTTGGTATTTCTGTGATCGCCAAATTTTTATATTCAAATATTATAACTGATCCTTGCAAACAATTAGCATGAATTCATAGCTGAATGTAAGAATGGCTGGGTCCCATGGGACAGGCTTGCTTCACTGCGAACCCCTCTGTGTTGGTGCTGAGGGGGCCACCCTGCCTGTGTCCTGACAGTGCGTGTGATACACATGGGGGTGCACCAGCTTCCTCAGTGACCTCTTTCCCCTTGCAAACCTGCAAGCATGCAGTCAGAAAGGGCAATGCTGTCGATTACACTGGAGCATATTGAGTCTCTAGTAGAGATACTGCTAACAGCACTGGCAGAAGCAGAATTAATCAAATCAGCATTGAAGCAGTCCTCAAGGCAGTGGTGGGGTTTGGATTTAGGAAGGAAAGTGCTGATGACAGAGATATAATGGAGGCATCCATCATAGCCTATATAGAGGAGAACTATACGTTGCTGTAATATCGGCCAAAACAGCTGGTAGCTGTCAAATATCAACCCTTGCTATTCCAGTTTTTCCTTTTTTTTTCTGCTTAAATCAGT